AATTTTTTTGGAAGAAAAAAAATTCATTCATATTGAAAATTTTTGTTAATAGCTGAAGTTAATTGATATTTCTTTAATTTACAAAATCATTTAATTTATTAATGTACTAAAATAATAAATCATGCATCAATTAAGTTTCAAAATTACAATTTTTTATTAAGATATTTAGAGATAAACGAATGCATAAAATTATTTTAAATAAATTATTAATTTTCTTATAACATAGAAATCAAGAAAATTTTTATAACTGGAAACTGTATAATATTTGCATAAAAACATAAACAAAGATTGTATTTTCCTGTAAAAAATTGTATTTAAAGGTTTAAAGATTGTATTCGAAACATGAATAAAGTTTGTATTTTCCCCTTCTTTTGAATCTTTTTGAAAATTGATTAATTTTCAAAAAGATTTAAATTCGACATATTCTATACTTAGATTATTCTTTGCTTATATTAGACATATTCTGTATTGCATTTGCACAAAACAAAAAATTATAATAAAATAAAATAAATATTTTTTTTTTTAATTGGAAAATTATGATACATGGTATTTATTTCTATTTAGCGGTAGTTTTTAATTTACCAAAAATATAATTACAAAAAAAATCGCTTTATAACCATTTTTTATTTAAGTTTCTGAAGTTACTTAGTAGTAATACTACTACGCAAAATTTATATCATTAAATTATTTATATTATAAAACCTTTACAGATGTCATTGAAGAAAGCAACATTTTGTTTATGTTTTGCGTGATTAAAACTATTAAGTTGATCCTCGTACAAAATCGAATTTGACAAAGCTTATTAAAAATGAATTGTACAATAAACTGCTTATTCATTTTAATTTAAACGTAAACAAGACAAGCGGATGAAAGAAAATATAGGCAGTTCTTGTTGACCTGTTTATGACGCAATCTTTGGTATCCGTGAATGGTATTTGTGACGTCTATCTGACGTCATAACGACGTAGTAAAAGCAACCACAACAAGTTGGGGTTTTCCCACACCTGAGGGTGTATGAGGCCGAATGTTTTTTCTTTCCTCTGATTCCGGGAAAATCTTTACTTTTACTTCGACATAAGGAAAGGTTTGCTTCCCTAATTGGGTATCCGCCGACTTTCGAAAAGCGGTCAACCAGTTATTTAAAAACAATAATACCAGACATCACGATTTATTTTACAAACAATGTTTTGAACTTTTATTTGAATTACAGTAGAATCTCACTCTATAACGAAATCGATTGATTCCAACAGAAAAATTCGAGATAGAGAAAATATCATTTTACTGAGTTTAGCGATTTTTTTTTCTTTTTTTAGTGAAGCTTAAAAATTTTTTTACCCAATCAGAATTTGAGATTCAAAACGTGTGGCATCATAGATTCTCTTCCAATTTTTCTAACAAAAATTTACTAATACAGTTCTGTTTCCACCAATTTAAACTGTATTAAAATTAAATATTAATAAAATCTAAACTCTGACAAAAAGGTAGTTTTAAATTACTGACTCAAAACCACAAATCGTAAATTTTTATTGCTTTAAAGTTCTAAAAGTTATCAAGCACTATTTCTCTTACTTACTTTTTACTTAAGAAAAAAGGTACTGTGCTGTCAAATAACACTATGTTATCAAAACTTTGTTAAGCACAAAAAAATATCAAGAAAACGAAAATCAAAAATGTAATCTAAAATCCAAGATGGCGAGCATAGAGACCTCTTAAAATATGAGGGGAAGTAACTATCTGGAAAATATAGTTCTAATAGTTAAGTCAGGGGAACTAACGAAAATTTGAACTGAGTTAATTTTACTTTTTACGTATTTCACAATATCTCAGAAATTATTCAGAAGATTCAGAAAGTTTCGCACTCAATTGTAATACTTCTTTTTCTGAAGATAATTCAATAATAAATAATTTTCAACAAACATTTATAATTTTTTATTATTTAATTTAGCAATAATAGAAAAACTTTCTAATCGTAGAGATTATAAATTTTTACATAATTTTAAACTTGATAATTTGGAATAAAATTGATCGAATAGTTTTTCAGCTATAATACTGCTAAAAAGTCGTCTTTTTAAATGTTTACTTCTAGAGAATAATTCATTAAAATTTGGGATTTTGGCATGGATTATAATATAGCTTAAATTGATGTTAAACTTTGCATACCTCACAATTTGAAATTTTTTCTCTACATTTCAAATAAGGATAACAATGTTTGTTATAAATATTTATAATCACTCTAAATAATTTAAGTGAGTTTTCGTAATTAAAAATAGTTACTCTAACCCTTTTTTTTTCTTTTTTTTTTCGTGGGACCTTTCGGTTCTTTTGATTTTAAGAGTTTTATGCAAGAGGTGCCAGAAAAGTTGCCATAGGGATACAAAATTCAAACACGCGACTAAAACGGTAAAAAACTATACTCTGGCACACCACTTTGAAGGAAAATTTGCACACATGATCAATACAGCACTCTTCAAAAACTTTTTTATTTTTATTTTGCAAAACAAAAATCGCCCTTAAAAGAACTCAATTTTAGTACAAGCTTTTTAAAAGTCCTCAATTTTCATGATCACTATAATTGATAGAAACAATTTTTCAGTCATACAAAAATATGAAAAACAAAAAGACTATTGAATTGTTTTTTATAATTAAAAGATATCAAAATATACTTTCTTGTAATTAGAGAGTCAGAAAAAAATATTTAAAAGAACACCAATGTATCATCTGCTTCAAAGGGTTAAGGTGTTCTGTTTCTTATTTTGGGTACAATTCATACCAGTATTAAAACACACGCTGTTCAATTAAAATCAGGAAGAAAAAAAACTTTAAAAAAAACAGTTCACCATTTCTTTCTGCAGGCTGTAACATCCTTCAAGTGTATAAAATTAGTAAATTACCATTAGTTTTTCAAGGTAAAGCCAAATAAATATAACTCTCGTGCTGAGACTAAATTGAATCTACTGTGTACATTAATATTTTTCTCTATTTATTACTTCATTAAGTGAAGAAAAAGAAGTTCGAGATAGATTTAAGTCGTAATTATTTCTCAAAGAATGCGGAAAGAAAGTTATTTAGGAACGCATTATTCATGAAAATGTCTAAATTTTGTTTCTTTCCCCTTTAATAATATAATGGCACTAAAAATAATATTTACTTAATATTTATATTTATAACTGTCGTTAAACATCCGACCCAATTTTTTAGGTTTACGACTACTAATGTTCAACTCCGTGGCCTTGTAATTTTGAACTTAATCCAGAAGACAAAGGAATTCCTGAATCAAGTTCTGGGAGAAATTTGCCTGCGTGGGGGACTTTTTGATAGACCTAACCCACACATTTGCGTTACATGGAGAGGAAAACCATGAAAACCTCCCACGGTTAGCCTGACGGCAAAGGGACTGTAATGTTCGCTAGATCAGACCTGCGGATCGGAATACCGAACCTGCGACCTCTCATCCTGATATTCTTTCTGCTGTCAGAAATTAACTGCAACTGACGGCAGGATACTGATGTCATAATTATTCATCGCACATTTTCTCCAGTATATATATGCATCTGTAAAACCACAAAACTACTACTACTCTGTTATACTCTATTTTGAATTTTAATTTACTTTTAAGTTAGTCACGCAGCTTTTGTGACTCAATCATTTTCCCGGAAAATAAAAGTGCTTATTTTTATCTTCTGATTGTTTTGATGTTGTCTTTGGTTCCGTAAAAATGCAGGAACGCTATTCCTCGTTCCCACATAATCTGTGATAGAAATTTACCATAGCTAAAAATCTGCGTAATTGTTCTACAAATTTAGGTAAAGGAAAGTCTCTTAAAGCTTTTACTTTTTCAGGTATAGGCTGAATACCATCCTTTGAAACTAAATATCCCAAAAAATTAACTTCATAAACACCAAAAGCGCATTTTTCTAAGTTAATTATTAAATTGAAATCGTTTAAACGTTTAAGAACTTTGTCTAAATCCGCTTTATGCTTTTCTTCGGTTTCAGAGAAAATGAAAATATCAACCAAATATGCTATACAACAATCCATGTCTCTTAAAACATTATCAATAAAACGTTGAAATGTTTGTGCGGCATTTCTTAAACCGAAAGGCATAAATATATATTCAAAAAGTCCAATTGGTGTGATAACTGCTGTTTTAGGAACATCGGAAGTTTCAACTCTTATTTGGTTATATGCTTTTACTAAATCTGATTTAGAAAATACAGTTTTTCCATTTAAATTATGTGAAAAATCCTGGATCTGAGGTATCGGATATCTGTCAGGAATAGTTTTGGCATTTAAACGACGAAAATCACCACATATTCGGAATTCTCCATTTTTCTTTGGTACTAAATGTATCGGGCTTGTCCACGGGCTTTTAGATGGACGAACAATACCTTGCTTTATTAAATCGGCGAAATCTTTACGAACAATTTTTAATTTCTCAGGCAATAGACGTCTTGCTTTGGAAAAAACTGGAGGTCCAAATGTTTCAATGCAATGTGTCACACCGTAGTCTTGGCGTGGTGCATTTTGATTGAAACTTAAAATATTCGGATATTTGATCAACAAATCATGATAACGGTTCTCTGATGAGACCAAAGTTAATCCAAATGATAGTCCAGGACATGAAATGCCCCTAGAAAAAACTGTTGTCAAACTGTCAAGTAATCGACGATTTTTAACATCGACCAACAGTCCGAAACGTTCCAAAAAATCCGCACCAATAATAGGGCTTGACACATCAGCAATGATAAAATTGAAGTCGAACCTTCTACGCAAACCAAGATCTAGTTCTAAACGCTTATTGCCGTAAGTTGAAATTTTAGAACCGTTTGCAGCATACAAATTTAATTCCTGAATTATGTTATTTTTTGTTAAATTTTTAGGAAAACAGCTAACTGCTGCGCCGCTGTCTACGAGAAATCTGAAACCAGATATTTTATCATAAACAAAAAGGCGACTGTGAGACTGGCTAACATCTGCCATCGCTACATCAGACGAGCCGTTTAGTTTTCCGAAAATTGGCATGGTTGTATGTACTTGTGTGCTTTATTACCAAAACGATTATGATACCAACATAATTTACCCGTACGTAGATTGTCAGGAGTACGACTACGTGAATTTGAATGTCTGTATCGACGATTGCGACTTCTATCACGATTACGTTGTTTAGAGGATCTAGATAATCTCTCAACGTTAGCGCTAAGAACCGAAATTTCTTCACGTACTGATTGAAGAGTTAAATTATCCTGAGAATTTTTAACTTCAGATACCGATTGGAAACAAGATATTTCGCATATCTTATCGGCAATTAAAGCTAGTTCATTAATTGGGTCTTTGCAAACAGACAAAATTTGCTGCACATGAACTGGCAAACGTTGTTGCCATAAAGTACGCAATATATCGTTGTTAAGCTTTTGGCAAGAGAGATTTTGCATCTCTAACAGAAGCTGTGACGGAAGTTTATCACCCAACTGCAAATCCTGCAGCAGCAATTTTAACTGAGCCGATTCTGATTGAGAAAAGGTTTCGATTATTTTAGATTTTAAACTCTCATATGCATTAGATTTGGGAGGGTTACGAATTATATCTCTTATAGAGGATAGAGCCTTACTGTCCAAAGCGGAAACAACACAATGGTATTTAGTTTCATCGGTTGTTATTCCTGCTATCACAAATTGTGACAGATGCATATATATACTGGAGAAAATGTGCGATGAATAATTATGACATCAGTATCCTGCCGTCAGTTGCAGTTAATTTCTGACAGCAGAAAGAATATCAGGATGAGAGGTCGCAGGTTCGGTATTCCGATCCGCAGGTCTGATCTAGCGAACTCTACAGGACTTTAACCCATAATCCGTCTACCACTGAGGACATTTTACATCGGTCGGTGCAAGCCCGATGCGGAATTTGCCATCGTAAGAGTAGGGCAATCGAGGTATTCTCTCAGAGACCTACATTCCCGGCGCGGATGATTTGTTTAATAATAATTAAATGCCCTTTTTTTTTCAAATTTTTTTCATTGAAAAGTTAACATTCTTTTTTTTTCTATTTAATCATATTGAAGAAACGGGAAAAAAAAAAACAGTAGTCTTCAATTTTATGGGGATTCCGCAAAAAAGACGAAAAACTTCATATAAATAAAATTTATTTAAGCCTATTTTGATGATTATTTTGGTGGGACCCTTAAACGCAAAAATCCTCATTTCTAAGTGTAACTAATATTGTTCATCTAGGGTCATTCTAGGATAGATGGCCATAATTATTTGAAATCGAAATAAAAGTACTGTGATTACTAGGTAAAAATACTATGTAAAAGTACTATGCAAATTTTTATGCATATTTTTAATTCTCATTCATTATTTGAGCGAACAATAATGGAATATTGAGAACAAAATATTAAAAAAGAAATTTAAATTAAGCTAACATGTGGCCATCTCTCCTGAAGCTGGTGATGAGAGGGCCACCGAATTTATACCGTCATTCCACTATAATATTCCTCTGATTTTTACTCAGGAGCAAAGATTAGACTACATATCGCTGGTTCAAAACTAAAACGACACATCTGCAAACGTATTATGCTTGCAGATGTGTCGTTTAATTTTGAACCAGCGATATGTGCTTTAAAGGTCTAGTTAGATGAAAAAAATGTATAAACTTTGCATTGGAAAACATCAGAATACTTACAGATGCTAAAATTTTAGGCCCGAAAAATAAAATAAATATTAAAATTTTACATGCTTTTGTTGTTAAAAACAAACAATGATTTGTTCAAATTGACCCATAACTGAAACTGCTTCCTGCGAAACTACATATGCTCCACTATATTAAAAACTATAGAAGATCTTGAAAATGGCTATTTTTCCGCTATGACCATATAATCTAGAATTACCTTAAATTATAAAAATTGGAAAATAGTATAAATACGAAGAAGTCAATTTCTTCAATTTTAGAATTAAATTAGGAAAAAAATCTTATATATTTTAATAATAGAGGCAAAAATCGGAAGTCTCTTACAAGCACCATAGAAATCAATATTTTAACGATATCTCAATATGACTTGCCAATATGAATATGAATAACTCAATATGAATATGACTAAGTTTTTTTATTTTATAACCGTCGTTGATCGGCCGACCCAGTTTTTGGGTTTATAACAGCTAATGTTCAACTCCGTAGCCTTGTAATTTTAAACCCAATCTAGAGATATTTTATGTCATTACTGTGGTTGGTACTAGCCGGTTGCAGAATTCGTAATAACCAGCCGTTGCTGGGATTCAAACCCGGTTCATCTCATTGGAAGGCGAACGCTCTAACCTCTGAGCCACCACGGTTCATCCTGGGCCTTCTCAATATGATTTGTCGGTCTCGTAATATACTTCTCACACCTGAAAGAGAGAATTGTCCAAATAATAGAATATACGCAGCACCGATAGTTTTTTCCCTTATATGTATTGTTTAAGATATTCTGATTTCTTAAAATTCGATTTAAAAAAATGTTATTGTAGTGTTAACTTTGTTTAAATAGAAAAGTATATTCCATAAGTATTGAACATTTAGTGCATATAACGTAATTATCTATAGAATTCAGAATTTGCTGTTGTTAACCTTATTGCTCCCGATTTTTTGAGAAGCACGCACGATATGCTTTGTATTTAAATCCATAAATCCTGATCTTGTTAAAATTTGAAAAAAAGAAACATTAAAGGCAAATGTTAAAAATAGATGTGGTTTAAAATTTGATACTTTTAATCCTATAATATATTTAAAAAAACAACTTTTTTCAATCCAAATTTGCTTTACTAGTTTTAGTAAAAAAAATATTGTATCTTTTTTTTATTTCCTTCCAAATTACGCATCAGTTGTAAGAGCAAACACACACAAAAAAAAAAATTTCAATCATATCATAATTTAAAAAAGTTTTTTAAAAATAAAATTATTAACATAGAAAATAGATTTAAAATAAATTTACAGATAAAATAAATATATTTTTCATTTATTCAAAAACAGTTTTTTATTCATAAAATTTTTAATAACACCCATAATAAAATATAATAAAATAATTACATCATAATTTAAGAAAGATTTTAAAATAAAACAATTAATATATGAGATGTATCTAAAATAAATTCAAAGATAAAAATCGGTTTTGAAAAAAAGAAGTATGCTTTTCATTTATTCATTTATGAGCAGTTTTTCATTGATTTAATTTTTAGTACTCCCCATAATAAAATAATTACATAATAATTTTTAAAAAAATTTAAGAAAGAAAAGAAATTATTATATGATAAATTGATCTAAAATAACTTTGTAGATAAAAACAGATTTTAAAAAAATAGAACATTTTTTCATTTATTTATTATTTAATACTTCCCATAATAAAATATAATAAAATAATAACATTATAATTTGCAAAAAAAAATTGAAAAGCAAAAAAATCATTATACGAAAAATTGGTCTAAAATAACTTAGTAGTTAAAAACAGATTTTAAAAAAATAAAACATTTTTTTATTCATTCATGAGCAGTTTTTAATTCATTTTTTTTTTATACCACCAAAATAAAATAAAATAAAGTAATTACCTCATAGTTAAAGAATGTTATTAAAAATAAACAATTAATTAATATGAAAACAGGATTAAAATAAATTAATCCATAAAAATAGATTTTTTTCAAAACAGAGCATATTTTTTCTTTCATTCATAAACAGTTTCTAATTCATTTAATTTTTAATACCTCCCATAATAAATAATAAAATAATTCCATTTAACTTCAATAAATTGAAGTTCGCAAGACGAGGTCGTTTCCTACGGCACGTGTTCTGCTTATCTTTATTTAACTTTCACCATGTGGAAAACTCACGTGGTTTTGTAAATGTCAGATTCTATTTAGCATCAACTTCTCTCTTTAAAATCAACCAAGTTATTAATTTTTATACAAAACACCATCAATGTTTCATTAGTACTATTTTAATCGTCTTTTTAAATAATCAATCGTTCTTTATTCTGTATAAATTTTAACAGGCTTTTTCTTTTCGAAGACTCGTGTGTTGTATACAATCGTAATTTATTTGCGCAGCTTTCAGTTTCGTATTTTTTATATCGATCGATTAGGGTCATATTGGCACGTGTTGCCGTAAAAGTTTTGTTCTTTCACAAAATGCGCTGACATTTTTTTTCCTTTTCTCTTTCTAATAGATAAAACTAGGTCAATTTTTCGTCATTTCCTCGATTCGTTCAGCAACCCTTACGAAAATTTAAGGTATATTTAAGGTTGATTTGAGGTATTTTTGAGGTATCAAGGTTGATATGAGGTATATTTAAGGTTGCTGAGAAAACAGCAATAAAAATTATACCTCGTAAAGGTTGTAATTAAGGTGTACGAGACTGTTTTATAAATACTTCAGCTTATTTTGAGGTGGTTTAAAATCAACTTCAAACCAACCAGGCTGATGAGGTGATTTTCAAGGTATACCAGGTTGATTTTCTGACACTTCTAACAAAAGAGGTATTTTTGAGGTATAAAATTTTTTACCTTATTTCAACTAAAGAGAGTGAAGTATTTATTGAGATATATGAAGTCATTTTATTTATTCCTAATCTTATTTTGAGGTTGTTTAAAATTCACTTCAAATCAACCAGACTGATAAGGTGATTTTTAAGGTATACGAGGTTGTTTCTCTTACACGTGTAACAAAACAGGTATTTTATGAGGTATAAAAAAATCAGCCTTATTTCAACTAACGAGAGTGAGGTATTTACGAGGTATAGAAAAATATACCTTTTTCCTACTGAAGAGAGTGAGGTATTTACGAGGTATTAAAAAATATACCTTTTTTCTACTAAAGAGAGTGAAGTATTTATTGAGGTGTATGAAGTCATTTTATTTATACCTAAGCTTGTTTTAAGGTTGTTTAAAGTACACTTCATATTAACTAGCTCACTTCCAGGAGTTCCATGCGAGCCGGCAAATGGCGTGTGTGTTGACAATCGAGAGTATATTCAAAATTCTGTAAGCGTGCTTGACATTTATTAATTTAGTTTTATCACTTTTAATCAAATATGTTTCACTTTTCAAACTTAAATTTTATTATTTTTGTTTTAAAGGCACGTCCTGATCATAAATAATTTAAGTTGGAGGATATTCTTAGAGGCTATCGTTGTAGGCTTAGCAATAAGAGAGAACAATCGAAATATTTCTTGTCGTTGTTTAGGGTAACGTTACTGGGGAATCGTTACAGCAAGATATGCACAGTATATTTCATTGTTTGTAATTTATTCAAATAGAACTATTTTTTTAATTTTGCTTAACTGTACATGTTTTAACGTAGCAGTATGCAAGCTGATTAATTGAGTAAAATGTTCATAATTATAAATAAATCATTGAAAATTGAAAGATTTTTTAAATAGCAATTTTGCTTTGAAATTCTACTATAGCTGTATGCTTATCGTTTGGATATTTGTTGCAAAGTTTATATACATATCTCTCTCTCTCTCTCTCTCTCTGTATATATATATATATATATATTTACAGAGCTTATCCACAGTTCCCTGATATTACTGAGATGGCCTAGGCTGTAAATAGCACATGCGCGGCGGCGCAGAAGAAGAGACAAGCAAGCTACTGCTCAGCCTTCCCCTAGGATATAGTTCTGAATTTATACCTAAAAGAAAAAGTAATCTCTCCTAATA